GATCCAAACACAGCACAGACACGACTGTTACTATCAGACGGGAACAGGAAGGTGTCATGGATGGATGAATGTCTCTCTTATTCTAATCACCCAGATAGATTCAATTATTACTCTCAGGTTCTGAGCAGAGAGAGTCTGACAGGACGCTGTTACTGGGAGGTGAAATGGAGAGGAAAAATTTATGTAGCAGTCGCGTACAAGAATATCAGCAGAGCAGGAAAAGGGAATGAATGTAAATTTGGATTTAATGACATATCTTGGGCATTATCCTGTTACCCAGGTGGTTCTAAGTTTGGTTACAACATGATTTGGACCAATAATTTAGGTTCTGTTTCCTCCAGAATAGGAGTGTACCTGGATCACTCAGCAGGGATTCTGTCTTTCTACAGCGTCTCTAAAACCATGTCTCTCCTCCACAGAGTCCAGACCACATTCACTCAACCGCTACATGCTGGAGTTTGGATCGGGTACGATGGAGTCTCTGCAGAATTCTGTAAACCCTAATAGAGAGATTTCACTAATTTTAATTCTCAAACAGTTTAATTTCATTACTGTTGTTTTATGTCTAAACTTCATTAATCAATAATTGGAGATTGTTCTTTTTTTCTTCCTCTTCCAATTGGATTTTCTGGCTGTGTTAAATCTTCAACACTGTATTTCAAAAGCTGATTAGCAGAAGAATGCTTTCTCTCTTTTGCATTTTGTTTCACTGGGAGCAAGGAGTGTGAACTCTGAACTTAAACGAACCAGACCAGTTATTTTATTCTGTTGTTGTTTGAAGACATTTTGTTGAGTCCTGACTCACATAGAAAACAAATATTTTTTAACTGTGGAACTGAGATGATTTTACGCCTTGATTATGTTGATTTTTAGGAGAAATATAGTTGTCAAAATAAAGTTGTCATAATACTTCTCTTACTTTTTTGGTGAAAACACACTGACCCCTACAGGAAGGTTGTGTTGATACGTGACATAGGTTGATAATCGCTTCATTGGAGTTAGATATATTTCATTAATCTGTTAATAAATATAGATAAAACTAAAAAAATGATATAAAGAATTCACTAATGTACTGTAATAACAAATAACTTTCTTAAATACTTTAGTGTTCTTTGTAAATATTGGAATTGAATTCTCACAACAGAATGACGTTAAAAGAATCAGAACTATTTTTAGAGCTATTTTTCTCTTAATTAGCTTGGAAGTTATGTGTTTTATTATTATCCTTCTTTTTACATCAAATAATAGCCTATAGAAGAAAATCCATGCTTCATCTTTATGAATAATTTTGTTTTCCCACATTTCAAAAATTAAAAATACAAAAGTTAAAAATAAAAATGTAGCTGAAATACAAACAAATATCATTAAATACATATAAATAAGATGGCAGATATTTAACAACAATTGGTGAGGTTTTTTTAAATCATGTAATATTTGGCGGCTCTAATTGACTTTTTCTTAGCCGGACTCAAGGCCAAATGGCTCTTTGAATATGAAAGGTTGCAGACCTTTGTTCTAGCACATTGTGAGGTTTGAGGTGTAATCCGATTTAAGTTCAAGACAATACTGAATCACTATAAATCCATAGCAATACATATTACAGTAATGGTTTTTCCTCATCATAAATAAAATCTGCTACAGACTTAGTTTTGTTTGTTTGTTTTTTTTTCAACACAAACAAGGTGTAGATGTTTCTTCAGGGTCAGGAGAACCAAGAGCTCAGCACTGAATGAGAAAGAATCTGTTGCTGATCTTCCTTCTGGCTGTAGGTGGACAAAA